TTGTCAAGGTAAATTTTATTTTATTTGTCATAGCTTTTATTTTTTTGTCAAGTTAACTTTTATTTTTTTTGACCAAAAATTATTTTTTGTCAAGGTAACTTTTATTTTCTTTTGTCATAACTGTTATTTTTTTGTCGATGTAACTTTTTTTTTTTTGTCATAATTTTTATTTTCTTGTCAAGGTAACCTTTTTTTTTCAAGGTAACTTTTATTTTTTTGTCAAAGTAATTTTTATTTTTTTCCACAAATTTATTTTTTTGTCCAGGTAATTTTTATTTTTTTTTCATAACTCCTATTTTTTTGTCGAGGTAACTTTTGTTTTATTTTTTGACAAAACCTAACCTTGTTTTTTTTGACAAAAAACTAAAACGATGGTGGCTGCCCAAGTTCGAATTAGGATCCTCTTGAAAGGGAAAGCAGCGTGATAACCGACTACGCGCACCAATAGCTGTCTTACCTTTCATGATAAAAAAATGTATCGTATTACGTTTTCTAGCCTGAATAACTAAAATCCTACATCGGAAAGCCTAAAGAAGTTTGACGTCAATAAAAGAATCCTTGGTACCTTTTTCGTCGTGTGCTTGATGAAGGCGGACAATCTGCCACATGTGGCGATGTCTGACTCGTTCGTTCTGCGACGTCATTAAGCTTGTCGCGACGTCATCGCCTGACTCGTCCGGTTCCTTTATAAACAAGGGCGGTTTTCTGTTTTGAGTTAGAATCGACATGGGGTAACCGATTCCTATATAGAATTGCCTGAGTCCGTGTTGACTCCGTGATTTTTAAACCATTGGTTATAACCCAAAACCAAACGATAAAAAATGTATAAGGTGTAATTTTTGTGAAAAAGATACCAATGGGGTATTAACTGATTCAAGAAACGCCTTACCGGAATTAAAGGGGATGTTGCTTCTTCTAAAAAGGTTTCCGAAGCTATTCGGGATGAGATTAGACAATTTATGAATTTAAAAGAACCAGAAAATGATGAAAATGAGTCTTGTTCTATGGAAATATCTTCTCCATGTTCTTTTAGAAGTGGTGATCCAGGTTGGAAGTATGGTTATAACCCGAATCCGAATGACAAAAATCGTATTAAATGTAATTATTATAGAAATGATACTAACAGGGGCATTTACCGGTTTAAGAAACACCTTGTCGGTATTAAGGGGGATGTTGCCGTATGTAAAAATTTTCCCGAGGCTACCAGGGAGGAGTTTATACAATATCTGAGTTTAAGGAAGCACAAAAAGATAGAAAAGGGTAGAGTAGCCAAGTCTCCTAAGGCTTAATCTGCACATACTAGTAAGAGGGAGGTAGAAAAAGAGGAGGAGGAAGATGTTGATTCAAAATAAATTGAGGAGGACGAGCGTTATATTGAAGAGGGAGATGACTTTGATGATGATGGCCTCGAATCTTATGCATATGATGGGGCTCATCCTATTCCTTTTGATGATGATGATGATGACTGAAGACTCTTAGTGTTGACTGTTGAATGTTGACTATTGTGTCCTAGTCTGTATATTTTTCGAATTTCTGTATATTTTCTTTTTCTTATTTTTAGTTTCTACTTTCTACTTTCTAGTTCAACTATCTAACTTTTATGTGTACAGTCTACAATGTATTATTAGACTATCAGTGTATGCTTGTATGGTTTTACTGTTTTAGCGTTGTATGAAAATATGGATTCTGGTCTTATGGATTATCAAAGCTCACTTCTCGACTTCGATCTTTTTTTTTTTTGGAACGGGCCGCCCAGGTTCTAGTTGCCTGCCTAGGCGCTGGACGGCCCAAACCCCCACAGCTGCTTGGGTGCCGCTTAGCGCTTTTTTAAACACTGATGTTATGTATCTTTATCTGCATATATTTGTGTATATGTATGTCTTTTGTCCTGTAGATTTGTTAAATTTGAAACTAGATGTTTCATGGTCAGCTTGAACTTCAATTTGTACACTTGAGTAAGACAAATTAGGTCATTTCATTATTCACTAAGGGTGTGTTTGAATGGATCATGTATGCCACAACATTGTACTGTGGGTGTTTGGTGTGGCCCCGGATATATGGTAATCACTATTTTTTAGCATGAGCGCGAAACTACTGTAAGGTGTTTTATGCGGATGCCCTGTGGAGCGGCTCCAGTCACAAAATTGCTCTAACATGTATTTTGTATGTTCAATTAGCTAGTTCTTCTCTCTGAAGAGCTGCTGCTGTTGGTGGCTGTGTGGAGTAGGCAAACATGGTTCACACTCTTTAGAAGCAAATACCCCTTTCCAGACCTTGCCATTGGATGCTGTAAATGACAACATGGAACATTTGGCATAAATCATGTTATATTTATTGATGGGCCACATAAGGTGTGTGGCATGCAGTGTTCGAATATTCAGTCACCCAGCCACCTAGGCAGCCAATCGCCTAGAACACCTAGGTGGAACCTAGATGGGGCACCTACACTGCTTGCGTCTAGGCACCGGCAAGGCGCTACAGTCAAAGTGGCTGCCTAGGTCCTCCTCGATGCAGGTTGCTGAGGCCAGAACAATTCCCTCGGTTATGGTCAAAATAGTAACACCCCCACCCCCCAACCAAAAGGGTGGGCATAGTTATCGGGAGCGCCCATCTTGGGGTCTGCTTCCGCCCTGGAATCTCGATCCTGCGCTCTAAGTGACCGAATCTCAATTCCAAGCACTTCCTTGCTTATGCAGATCTCGTATCTGGAGTTATGAAAATTCGATTCCTATTATTTGGGAACAAGGTCCCTAGCAAGCGGGATCCAGATCCACATGCCCAAGATCATGGCCCCAATATCATTCGGAACCACAATTCCATCATACCAAGAATCGAGTATCTTATACCATGGGAGTGAGGTGCACCTATAAAGTTTTTTTTATTCGTGTATAGTATTCTATTGTCAATTTTTCTACGATGCATGCATTTTGCAATGATATTTTTGTTCAATTTTAAAGAAAGGCAACTAGAGTAGGGACACGATTGGAAGGAGGTTCAAAAGTTAGCCTTACAATTTTATTGTGAAGTGGGGTCACGATCAATACACTTCATTACGGTAAAAAAGATGTGTTACACAATCTGTTAATGCGTTGCACAAGCAGTTAATAGTGCATTTCTAACGAAATAATGTAATATTATGTAGAAGTCTCCAAGTACAGTCGGAATGGGTTGCACATTGTAAATCATAATTGTATTGTAATACTGAACTGATCATGTTGTGTTTGTGTACCATCGTTATATGGACGTTTATCAGCTTAGGTGAGATATGAAAGGGTGATAGTGGGTGGATGGCCATTGGTTGTGGCATGTATACTGTTTGTGTGTAAAGAAAATGAATCCAAATAATGTTAAAGGACCTGCAGCCTCAAACACTAGGCACTCACACCATTGTAAACACTCAATTACTTTTCTCGCCAATCTTCATCAAAGAAGGGAAAACAAAAAAAAAATGCAACCATGTCTTCATATTCATGTTTGGGATCACATTCTTGGGCATTAGGGTTGATTAGAGCACAACGTTGGTAGAAAAGATGCATAACTTATAGCACTTTAGTCCTCTATCTGTTCCCCTCGCTCTCTCGCCCACTCCCTCTATCCACCCAAGAGCCCATTATTAGCATACCAAAAAATGGAACTCGCTCCAAGTTTACAATATACTTGAGATAATGAACTCCAAAAACCCTGATCCTAGGAACGGCACTTCCCTTATGGTATGGAACCTGCTCCCGTCCATATAGAATTGCACTCCTTATAAGTCATGGAACTCGTTCCCTTCCCCAGACCATGTACGGTGCTTGCTTTGTCGTCTAGGGAACTTCGAGATAGACTCGCTCCGTGCTCCCGTTCCTGTTCTCATTCTCGTTCTTAGAACTCCTCACTTTTCCGTTCCAAGTAACTATGGTTCTGAGGGACATTCTAAACCCCCAAAACAAATCCATGGCATCTAGAGAGATACAAACTCTCAAAAAACCTCGATTTTATGATTTATCCAAAGGTCGATAAATTTTCGATTTTTTCGACTTCCTTCGAAATCAAAGGCAATGCTTTGTGGTAGTTTTTGGAGCTTGTAGTGGTCAATAGTGAAGACTTTTGGTGATAAATAGATGAGGTTTGGGCCGACATTGTTTTCATTTTGCTATTTTTAGAGCAGTATTCCATTATGGTATTTGAAGAAGCGTTTTGATTTTTTTTGCTATAACGTATAATGTTTTGAATTATTTGATTTTTTAAACTTTTGTTTCCTTTTATGATATAATTATGTATTTGTACTTGAAAGATTGATTTTTTTTTTTTGTGATTAATTGATTATTAACTTGTTTGGACGATAAAATTGGTCCTATATCGAACTCATTTATGAATAATTGGTTCTTATTTTCTACAATATGTGATGTTTTGATATCCTATTAGTTTTGTTTTACCTTTTTGATATTTTTACATATTTGTAGATGAAACATTTACCAATTTGGACTTATATTTTGTGAATAGTCATAACCTTTGGATGAAATTGATATTTTGTGAATATTTGATATCCAAAACCAAATCTTATGGATATTAATTAATAAATTTATTATTATAACTTATATCTTAATTCTTATGTGAATAGTCTCTACTCGTCCCTGTTCCTGGGCGGGTGGGCGTGGGGCTGCTTAGGCAGCCAGGCCCCTAAAATGCCTAGGCTTAGGTTTGAACATTGGTGGCATGCATGTAAATAACTGCTATGTACATAGGTATGTTAAGCAGGTGGATGCATACACACATGGATGTGTGTACGCTATTTTTTATTTGTGCATAATTCACATTGTTTGATGTTTGAGTTCTGCCAAATTTGTTGTGCTGTGGTTCTTGTCTTTTCTCATGTGCGAAGCTACCATAGTGAGTTCTTGTTGAATAATATTTTAGAGTAAAATTGAGATTCTAGACTCCAATATATCTTTATTTTTGGGAGCGGGGAATGATAGAAGTCTTGTGCACTGATGACTTTTAGCTTTGCGTTTGTGCAGATCTGTTCGGAAGATAGTCAGTCTCGATAACCACATTGCATTGGCCTGTGCTGGACTGAAAGCAGATGCACGGGTTTTGATCAATAGGGCACGCATTGAATGCCAAAGTCACAGGCTTACTGTTGAGGATCCTGTAACTGTTGAATACATAACACGTTATATTGCCGGTCTTCAGCAGAAGTATACTCAAAGTGGTGGTGTGAGACCATTTGGACTTTCAACTTTAATTGTGGGTTTTGACCCGCATACTGGTGTTCCTTCGCTATATCAGACAGATCCTTCAGGAACATTTTCTGCCTGGAAAGCTAATGCAACCGGGAGAAACTCAAATTCAATGAGAGAGTTTCTGGAGAAAAATTACAAGGAAACTTCAGGGCATGAAACTATCAAACTGGCCATTCGTGCGCTTCTTGAAGTAAGCTGCTGTCTTTACCTTTTGATATGTTTAACATGTCCTTATCATATTTTGCATATTTTTTTGGAAGTAACTGTTGAATATTCTTGTATAAAGACCACATGATAGTCTTTTGTTGTTAAAACTTTGTCAGTGTGCAGTATTCCAGCCACTCTTCATTGGGTTATTAGTAAATGGTCAGTCCTTCCTTTTTTGTATGGATTCTTTGGAGGATAGCCGATGTTTAAACTTTAGACATCTCTTTAGACATCTCTATGCGAATGGCATTGATGTCTGGGCTGCATCACTTGTTCACAAGAAACATGATTTCCAGGGACCACTTGTGAACACTTTGTATTATAGATTTGTTTGATAATATTGTGATCAGCTTCAGAAACTCACTAATTCGAGTTGAACCATCTTTTCTTTTGGCGAAATTCATGACTGATCTTCAACATTGTCAGGAAACTCTATTTCATAGACATGTCCTAATTAATAATACAATGTGCTGGGCAAGCATGTGGCATTTCATGGTATTCCTTGTATTTTGCTGCGCTTGTTTGGGGGTTATATAATGATACATATTTTGCTCAATTTAACAGGTGGATGTTGTGTTTGTTATTGTTTATCATTGGCATTTGATTTGCTGATTTTCTGTCATTTGATGATGATGTTGAATGCCTTAATAAAAATTGATTTTTATGGAGAAATGCATCTTCTTCAGAAATCAAGGCATTACTATCTGTCTTGGCAAAAATTGCCTAGTCCACAAAGCAATTTTCCAAGTGATATTAAACAACATTCATATATTTATGTAAGTTTGTGATAAGGCATATCTTTATGCAACTTGTTTCTTTTGATTGCTTCAATAGCTGTTTTTAACAAGGCTTATCTTTATGTAAGTTGTTTCTTTTCATTGCTTTAGTAGATGTTGTAAAGATGATTGGACTATTTGTGTAATTATTGTTACTTCTTGCTTGTGCTTGATCATCATCATCATCTGAGCTTTATCCCAACTATTTAAGGTTGGCTACACGAATCTAGTTCTGCCATTCACCATATTTTTTCTTACTAATATACAATGTTTTTTGGGGCCTTCCCCCTCCCTCTTAGAGCCTTCTATTTGAACCAAATCACCTCTCATAACTGGTGCTATTTTAGGTTGACGCTGCACATAACTAGACCACCTAAGTCTACTTTTCCTCATTTTATCACCTATTGGAGTTACCCTTAAGTTCCCTTGAATGTATTCATTATGAATTCTATCATTCTTTGTTTTGCTACTCATCCATGTTGACATCCTCATCGCAACTGCACTCATTCTATAGATATGTTGTTTCTTTAATGTCCAGCATTCTATCCAGCATTCTATCCCATAAAGCATGGCTAGTTGTATTTTATAGAAGTTTACATTCAATTTCATAGTAGGAGATGATCACGTAAGACTCTAGAAACACATCTCCAGTGTGTTCATCCAACATTAATTCTATAAGCAACCTCTTCCTCAATCTTTCTCATGGATTATCGACCCATGACATAAAAAATAATCGCTTTTAGGTACTTTCCAGCCATCAATCTTAATTAATTCCTCATTTCTACTCCTATTATTATTAAACTTACATTTTATATATTCTTTATATTCTAAAGCATCCCTCCAGAGTTTTGAACTTTGTGTTTACGCCATTTCTAATCTCAACAATCAAAATTATGTCATTCACAACAAAATACACCTCGGGACCTCATCTTGTAGATGCCTAGTTAACTTGTCCATAATTAAAGCAAAGAAGTATGGGCTCAACATTGACCCCTGATGTAGACCTATTGCTACTTATAGCTCACTTGTCTCTCTACTAGTTTTCCTCATATTAGTTGGCTCTCCACCATATAAATATATCCTTTTGAGATTCCTTCCTTTTCCAACACTCACAAAATATCGCTCTAGGTATCCTTTTCGTGTGCTTTCTTTGAATCCATAATGACCATCTGAGGTCTTTTCTCTTCGTCTTAAACATCTAAATCAATTGCCAAAGTAGGAAAATAGCTTCAATGATTGATTTCCCAAGTAATAAATTCAAATTGATTTTCTGATATGCTTGTTTCATATCTTTGTCGTTCCTTAGTCGCTCTCTCCTGTAGTTTATAGTGTGGCTCATAAGTTTTATTTCTTGATAGTTCGTACAATTCTGTATATCTCATTTGTTCTTGTAAATAGTTACTAAAATACTTTTCCTCCATTCATCTGATATTTTCTTTATTCTTAAAATCTTGTTAAACAATTTGGTTAACCAGAAATGCCGATCTCTCCCATGCACTTCCAAACATCTGTTAGTTTACCATATGGTACTAAAGCATATCCTATCTTCATCTTTTGTAAAACCTCTTTCGCTTCAGATATCTTAATCCTATAAAAGTATTTATGACCTCTAGCCTCATTTATGTCAATGGTTTCTCATAACGCTGAGCTCTCAGAGTAGTTGTCATTTAAGAATTTCTGAAAATAGATTCTCCACCTTTCATTGACCTCGTCATGTTCACCAACACCCTTTGATTACGCATTTAACATGATTTATGTCCCTACACTTTCCTCTCATTTTACCTTATGTTGTCCCCAATTTATTGTATATATCATCATATGCCATAAGCTAGCTTTATTATTCTTTTAGCATTCCTTTTGCCATTTCTATATTCTTGTAAATAATTTCTATCCCTTGCCAAGCTTTGTAATATGATTGCTTTTCACTAATAGCCTTTTGAACCTCATTATTCTACCACCAAGTTTACTTATCTGAAATTCTTTTCCCTCTAGGTTCTCGTAAAACTTGTTTTGCCACTTTCTTAATACAATCACCCATCTCATTTCTCGGAACATTAACTTCGATCCTCAAAATTTTATTCCCTTTTTAAGTTCCACCATCTAGTTCTTATACAGCCATTAATGTTACTCCTCTTCCATGTCTTAATGCATACATCCATAACCGTGAACCTATGTTGCGTGATCAAACTCTCGTTGGATAACCTTACAATCTTTGCATGATGCTTGTTCTGCGTTATTAACTAGAAAAAAGCTATTGATTTTTATATGATCCACTTTTGTAAGTTATTAAATTTTCATTGAACTTTTTAAAACATGTGTTTGCTATTATTTGATCGTAAACCATAGAAAAATCAAGAATAGCATCACCTCCCTCATTTCTTTCTCCAAATTCACGTCCACCATATACACTTTCATATTCTCTACTATTTTTTCCTACTTGACCATGTAATTCCCCTCCTAAAAGAGTCCTCTCTCCATTTGGTATTTCCTTGGACTAATCCATCCATGCCTTCCTCGAATTGCATTTTAATTCTATCATCTAATTCTACCTGTGCTGCATAAGCACTAATTTCATTAATTTATCTCCTAAGTTTAATTAATAAGAGCCTATCACCTACTCTTTTAGCGTCTACTACTTTATCCTTTAAATCTTTGTCAATCATTATAGCTACACTATTTTTGTTATTATCTTTTCCTATATATCAAAGTTATTCATCAATTTCCTTAGGTTTTGCTCTTTTCCACTTGATTTCTTATAAACAAGTTTTGTTAATGCTCCTTGCATTCATTGTATCCACCAACTTTATACTCTTATCTGATAGAGTTCCTACATTCCATTTGGCTAGACGAATCCTATTCTCTTGGACTAGCTTCTTCGCCCACGCTCATCCAAAATGGCATGGGAACCCTTGCATACTTATCACAACAACCGGGCAGCGTTGCAGCATGTCGCTTTTAGGGAACAACCTAGTTCTGTTTATGCTTGATGTAGCTGTAAAAATCATGGACTGTGATGCTCATTTGTTGCTAGAGGTGTCATGACTCATGAGGAGTGACATGGCTATTTACAGGATGTACTACTAGGATTAAAGAAGAGAAGTGATTAGCAACATTAAATGAGTGAAAGGGGCGAAGTGGAATTGACAATTGTCATGGCTCTTCTATTTGACCCTTACATGCTACACGTATTTTTATTTTACTTTATTTTTATTTTTATTTTTTTGTGGTATAAGGGTGGCAATGGGCCAGGTGGCCCTGCCGGGTCATGCAG